TGGCCTAAGGTTGCGCCATTGACACCCAGCCTGGGGCAACAAAACGAAACTCTGTCTCAGAATAATCTAAATACATAAAAAAGCTATTGTGACAGATGATGATGATATGCTATAGAATACCTCAGAGCAAGGTGAATGACTGTTATCAATGTGAAAGACCAGATTCCTCCTGGTGCTAGTAATTCTTTATTTGTGATTCTAAGAGATGGAAAAGTGAAGTACCTGGTAAATTTCTTAACCACTTATATGGCTACTGTTCACAGGCCTTTCAAGAGAATACAATGAACATTTAATCCTTTATCACATTGCTCCCACATCGCAATCTATGCATGTAAACAAAATTCACTTGCAGGCCGGTGCGGTGACTCTGTGCGCTGTAATCCCAGAACTTTTGGGAGGCCAAGGTGGCGCAGATCCACTTTAGCTCAGGAATTCAAGACCAGCACACTGGGGCAAAAAAAAAGTAATAATAATAAAACAAAATAAAATTAGCCAGACATGGTGGCACATGGTCCTAGCTACTCAGGAGGCTGAGGCAGAAGGATTGCTTGAGCCCAGGAGGTCAAGATTGCAGTGAGTTATGATCCGGCCTTTATACAGTGAAATACTCTGCAACAGTGAAAGTGACCAATCAGCAGGGAGCAGTGGTGCGCCACTACTGGGGAGGCCAAGGTGGGAGGATCACTAGAGGCCGTAAGTTCAACGCCAGACTGGGCAACAACAAAGTGAGACCCCTGTCTTGAAAGGAAAGAAGGAAGGAAGGGAGAGAGGGAGGGAGGGAAGTCAGTCAGTCAGTCATTGCTGGGCACAGTGGCTCACGCCTGTAATCCCAGCACTTTGGGCAGCTGAGGCAGGTGGGTCACCTAAGGTAGGGAATTTGAGACCAGGCTAGCCAACATGGTGAAACCCCGTCTCTACTAAAAATACAAAAATTAGCCGGGCCTGGTGGCATTGGGGCTGTAATCCCAGCTACTCGGGAGGCTGGGTCTCAAGAATCACTTGAACTCGGGAGGCAGAGGTTGCAAGGAGCCAAGATCGCACCACTGCCACTCCAGCCTGGGCAATACAGCCAGGCTCTGTGGAGAAGCAGGGGTGGGGGATGAGGGGAAGAAAGAAAGAAAGAAAAAAAAGTAAAAGTAAACAAGAACATGAATGAATCTTGCAAACATTAGGCTGCATAACAAAAGTCATACAGACACCAAAGAGAATGTATTTCATGGTCCATTTATATGAAATTCTAGAACAAGCAAAACTAATCTCTGGTGTTAGAATTCAGGATAATGATTATCCTGAGGATGATTAGGGTAAGCAGGATCAGGAAATGGGGCTAAGAACTTTCTGTTTCTCCACCTAGGTGCTGGTTGCATGGAGTTCTGCACTTAAGAGTTTGGGAGGGGCGGGGCGCGGTGGCTGACTCCTGTAATCCCAGAACTTTGGGAGGACAAGGAGGGTAGATCACTTGAGCCCAGAAGTTGGTGACCAGCCTGGGGCATAAGAGTGAGACCCCTCCCATCCCCATCTCTATTAAAAAAAAAAAAAAAAAAAAAAAAAAAAAAGGCGGGAGCAAGTCGGCTCACAGCTGTAATCCGGCACTTTGGGGAAGGCCAGAGAGGACGGATCATGAGGTCAGGAGATTGAGACCATCCTTGCGCTAACCACGGTGAAACCCGGTCTCTACTAAAAAATAACAAAAAAAACTGCGGCGCGAGGTGGCGGGCGCCTGTAGTCCCAGTTACGTGGGAGGCTGAGGCAGGAGAATGTCGCGGAACGGCGAGGCGGAGCTTGCAGTGAACTGAGATCCGGCCACTGCACTCCCATCCCGGGCGACAGAGCGAGACTGTGTCTCAAAAAAAAAGAAAAAGAAAAAAAAAAGAAGGTGTGAGACTAAGGAAATCACCAATGCCAACTCTCCTCAGCAGATCCGAAAGCTGATCCAAAGATGGCTGATCATCCCGCAAGCCTGTGGACGGTCCATTCCGGGCGCGGATGCGGAAAAATACCTTGGCCCGCCGAAAGGGAGGCCACATGGGCATAGTAAGCGGAAGGGTACAGCAAATGCCCGAATGCAGAGAAGGTCACGTGGATGAGGAGAATGAGGATTCTGCGACTCTGCTGCTCAGAAGATACCATGAGTCCTAAGAAAATTGATCGCCACATGTATCTACAGCCTGTACCTGAAGGTGAAGGGGAATGTGTCCAAAAACAAGCGTATTCTCATGGACACACATCCACAAAAGCTGAAGGCAGACAAGGCCCGCAAGAAGCTCCTGGCTGACCAGGCTGAGGCCCGCAGGTCTAAGACCAAGGAAGCACGCAAGCGCCTGAAGAGCGCCTCCAGGCCAAGAAGGAGGAGATCATCAAGACTTTGTTCAAGGAGGAAGAGACCAAGAAATAAAAGCTCCCCCTTTGTCTGTACATACTGGCCTCCGTGATTACATAGATCAGCCATGAAAATAAAACAAGCCTTTAAAAAAAAAAAAAATTTGCCGGGCTGGTGGCATGCGCCTGTAATCCGAGCTACTCGGGAGGCTGAGGCAGGAGAATTGCTGAAACTGGGAGGCAGACGTTGCAGGGAGCAGAGATCGCACTCCAGCCTGGGGGACAGAGCCAGACTCTGTCTCAGGAAAAAAAAAAAAAAA